TCCTGCTATTTGCCTGACTTGTTATTAGAAAGCAAGAACTGAGTTGGAGATTTTAAACCTTTCTCAGGTTTCAGGTGGCCAGTTTGTATGTGTACAACTAAAACAGCTGGTAAGAGTAAACACAGCTGACTGTTGCACCCGACCAGCTGTTTGGGTAATTTCTTCCTGCAGAGCTGAAGTAATTCTGAATTCCCTAATAGTTTTTGTCTCTAGTGCAGGATGTATGCGAGAGTTCTTCCCAAACTGTAGAGCCCACCCCTCTCCCCAGAACACAGGGAGCTGGTAGGAAGCCCAGTTCCAAGGGTTGATGGTCACCAGCTCAAAGAAATCAGGCTATATCCTCTGTCCCAGCTGGCCAGTTCACACTGACTCCCAACAGCTTGGGTCAGGAGACCGTATGTGCCAGGGCCATCTCCTACGAGGAACAGAGCTGACAAAGGACCAGAGAGAACCTTTAATGCTTGCCGTGCCCACTTACAAAGCACTTACACCTAACACTCACCTTTTGCACACAGCCTGGAAAGGTTTAACACAGAGACCAATGGCTTAGCCAACAAGCCTGCACATGGACTGGTACCCGGAGCAGCACTGGGTGGGCTACCCAGCCCCTGGCTCCAGGCAGGGAGGAGACAGCAGAACTATGCTCTGGCTTTCTGTCTCCTCAGGGAGCAGCAGGGAATGGGCAGAGACTTGACTTTAGCCCCACCTATTCCCTGTCCACAATAGCTGAATCAGTGTAGGAAGCGAGGAGTGAATGCTTTCTGGCTGATGAGAGGAACCTTGAGCTCCTAGCCCTCAGGAGCAGGCCGCGAGATGACTCACAGGCATATCTTGTAATGACTCTCAAGGCTTCTCTTTGAATAATTCGATCCATACAACACCCCTTGCTTAGAACCATTCCCAAAGGCAAAGCCCAGCCTTTAATGTTTTGAAACAACAGATGCTGCTATTTGGCCCTTCCAGGCACTGTTCTCTCCATCTCCACAGCTGCAGCTCAGCCATGTGATTTACCTCAAGAACGTTCTCTAGGTTGGGGTCCAGAATGAACTCAAAGGTCTCATCCCACACGGGATTCACGTCGTTATTGAAATGCTTGGTTCTCTTCCTGCAGTCAGGGGCGGTTGGGATGAAAAGCTCCACGTAGGGATCTGGAGTGTCAACTGTGGAGCAAACCACATGCTCAGGTTAGGGAACACACAGGTTTGGGTTGTAATAATTGACACAATTATGTGAAACTACAGATCACCTCATGGTCTCTGATGGACAAATAAGCAAATATCCAAAGTACATAAATCTAATGACAGGAATGACACAAGGATATTAACAATCTCTCAAGAAGAAACAGACCTTAGGCTTTTAAGAGGGGAGGAGAAAAGCGCTGAGCAAACAGAATTGCAGTGGGACAGAGTCAGGTTTACTGGGAATATGTATGCTTCTGCCAGGCAGTCAGAGATGTTTTTAAAAGCTTTTACCCCTTCCTCTTTTTCTAGACTTTAATTGCTTTGGCTCAGGTCACAGAAGTAAGTGTTCCACAAAACCAGTCTCCAGTAAATCAAAACAAGTAGTGTGGTGTATAGTTTTGGATCTCTTTCACCTTTGCTGGTTTGGGAACAATGAAGGAAATCACTGCAGTGCTCAACAGAGTGTAAGGAGAGCTGCTCAGATCTGCCAGCACTGCAATCACCAGAGCACGGAG